AGTGTTTTGGTAAAGCCGTAGGCGCGGAGGGAGAGCTGCTTTATTTTGAATAGCGACTTTATTTTTATTAGGGGCGCCTTGTCATTGCCTTTTTTTTCTCTTTTTTTAAAAAACACGTTACCCCCACACTAGGATTTTCTCCTGTGTCGTGGAGGCAGTTCACAAACATAAATTGCACAAAAAGGACAAACATCCAGACCCGGAACAATTATTTGTAGGCCATACAAATACTTGTTCCGTGCGGGATTCGAACCCGCCGCCCCCAGCGCAACAACTGATTGCTAAGCCACTGCGCCACGGAGCCGTCAAATGCCATTGCCTATACTTGCAGTACCTAATTAGCACTTAATTCCTTGCTATTAATATTTATCGTATATCTAATAACTTTATTGCGTTTCTAGCGATACGTTTTGCTACAACGCAAATTTGAACACTTCGATGAAGGGAAAATTTTAGAGCACCTAATTTTATACTTGGCACCTAATTAGCACCTAAAAAGCACCTAATTCTGTATTTTTCTAAATGCCAATTCCTGACTTTGCGTTGCTAGTGAGATACAGGTATTATATCTGACTACGCTAAATCACCTACTAGGCGATATGTATCTTCTGCTAATGATGTGAGCATAAAATCTCTTCTCATAACTCTTGTTTCGTCAGTGTCGTCAAGATAATAATAATAAATAGCTCTAAAATTAGCTGCTAAAATAGCCTCTTCACTACTGGGATCACTCATTTGGTTCCTAAAGACCGGGATTCCACAGACCCGAGCAAGTACCGCCCCATAACGTGTCTACCTACCATATACAAGACACTAACATCCATTTTGAGCGCGAGAATCACTCGTCACCTGAACTCAAATCAGGTGATGTCGCGCGCTCAAAATGGATGTCGGGGCGGTGGTCGTGGAACCAAGGAACCACTCCTCATTGACGCGGTCATTGGCAAGGTGGTTAAACGCAACCGTCGGAACCTCTCCGCCGCCTGGATAGACTACAAAAAGGCATTCGACTCGGTGCCTCATACATGGCTTAAGAGGGTCCTCGAGCTGTACAAGGTTGACTGTACGGTTCGAGACTTCCTCGGGCAGTGTATGGGGCAGTGGAGTACGATCCTTTGTCATCTAGGCCAGCGGATGACGGCTGCGGAGAACCACATAAGGATAAGAAGGGGTATCTTCCAGGGCGATTGTTTGAGTCCAATCTGGTTTTGCCTCTCTCTGAACCCTCTCAGTACCTTACTGGAGGGTTCCGGGAGGGGATTTCAGCTTCGGAAAGGAGGTACAAAAGTGACCCACCTTTTCTATATGGATGATCTCAAGTTATTCGCCTCCAGTCGCTCCCATCTTGTGGAATTGCTAAACATCACTTGTGATTTTAACAATTCTATTGGAATGGAGCTGGGGACGGATAAGTGTGCGATCCTCCATGTCGAAAGGGGAAGGGTTGCTAACTCTGAGGGCATGGACTTATCTATGCCCATCAGCATAAGGACCCTTTCCGAGGCTGAAACATACCGATACCTGGGTATGTCACAGAACATCGGTGTCGATGAGGCGGGTATGAAGCAGTCAGTTTGCGATGTGTTTTATGCACGCTTGACAAAAATGCTTAACAGTCTTTTGTCGGGCGTTAATAAGACACACGCTTATAACGGTTGGATCATGCCTGTTCTCATGTATACCTTTGGCATACTCAGGTGGACTCAGACCGAACTGAACGCTCTGGACAGAAAAGTCTGCACTATAATGACGTCCCACAGAGTGCATCATCCGTGATCGTCGGTAATGAGGCTGTACTTGCCGCGGAAGCATGGTGGGCGCGGCTTTTTAAGCGCGCTTACCCTGCATAATCGCGAAGTGTGCAGCCTCCGTAATTATTTTCTGTCGAGAGCGGATGATCCATTCTATAGGGACGTTATTTTTTGTGATAAAGGACTTACCCCTCTATCCTTAGCCAACGAGCAATGGCAAGACCCGGCAGTACAGAGTATTTCCGACCGGGAGACCGTATGGAAGGAGAAGGAGCTCCACGGGAGGTTCTACAAGGCTCTACATGAGCCTTTCGTAGATACAGTTGCCTCCCTCCACTGGCTACGTTTTGGTGACCTCTTCGGGGAAACCGAGGGTTTTGTCTGTGCAATACAGGATCAGGTAATTAAGACCAACAACTATCGGAGATACATCCTAAGGGATGGCACCGTCGACATTTGTCGAGCTTGTCGCCATCCTGGTGAATCACTTAGGCATGTCATCTCCGGTTGTTCGGCGCTTTCTAACTCTGAGTACTTGCATAGGCACAACCTAGTAGCCAGGATTCTACACCAGGAGCTCGCTCTGAAATACAGTGTCGTGGATCGGAAACTGCCTTATTATAAGTACATGCCGGAAGCCGTGCTCGAAAATGACCGCGCCAGGCTCTACTGGGACCGGGCCATCATCACAGACAGGACCATTCTTGCGAATAAGCCTGATATTGTGCTGATGGACCGGGCACAGTGAAGGATATTTTTGGTCGACATTACCATTCCGTATGACGAGAACCTCGTGAAAGCCGAAACAGATAAGCGAACAAAATATCTGGACCTGGCTCACGAGGTGACCGACATGTGGGGGTGGACTGCCGGCCGAAATTATACCTGTAGTCGTTTCTGCGAACGGGTTAATCCCAGTCAGCCTCTCGGGTCATCTGAGGCGACTGGGACTCCGTGATGGACTTCTCCAAGCTCAAATGCAGAAGGCGGTGCTCCTCGATACCGCCCGCATCGTCCGCCGGTTTCTTTCCCTTTCCCCCTAACCCTCGGCCGTTTGGTCTCCCCTGCCGAGGGCTTCCATCTGGTAGGGTTTTTATTTATTTATGTACTTTTTATGCATTTATTTTATTTTGTTGATATTTATGTATGTTTATCATTTTCATTTACAATTATATACTTATACAGCCCAACCAGATGAGTAAACTATATAGGTGCGTGCGTGCGTGCGTGCGTGCGTGCGTGCGTGCGTGCGTGCGTGCGTGCGTGCGTGCGTGCGTGCGTGCGTACGTGCGTGCGTGCGTGCGTGCGTGCGTGCGTGCGTGCGTATGTGCGTGCGTGCGTGCGTGTGTGCGTGTGTGTGTGTGTGTATGTGTGTGTGTATGTGTGTGTGTGTGTGTGTGTGTGCGTGCGCGCGCGCGTTAGTATTTGAAAATTCATTAACCTCTCTGTTCCCATGTAATTAAGATTTAGCAACCAATATAGAATTTTGTCCTTGCATTTATAAAGGGACATAGGGTACATATAGCTTATTTTATTTGCTACATTATATAAATGACTGCTTATGACATAATATTGTCGCCGGGCTACCGGGCTAGAGCATTTCTATGAAAAGTCATTTTACAAATTCTATTTTTGTTACGTTTTAAATTAGGTATAAAATGTATATTTTTGTGCTTACGTAGTATAACAGACATGACAAATAGTTGTCTTACAGTAAGTACAGAACATTCCTTATAAATAAGTTCAGTGCTATAGTGCTTAGTGATTTACCCAGCATAACCTTTAATATTGCTCTCTGTGCACGTTCTAAGGGGAGTAGAGTTGTCTTTCCAATTCCACCCCAGGTTAAAATGCAATATTGTAGTAAACTCTGAGCAAGGGCATAATAAACACATAGCAAGGTTTCAAAATCAGCTGAATTCCTCAATTTTCTGAAAATTGGTATTAATTTTCTAATACGGCAGGTTAAGTTGCTTATATGCGCTGACCAAGATAGGCAGTAGTCTATGATGAGTCCGAGGTATCTTATATGAGTGGAACGACTTAGTATTGGGCAGTTACATTTGCTTTGTTGTTCACATGTATGTGCTTTGAGATGAAATTCCGCTGATGGTTGTGTACTAACACGGTGAGTGAAGGTAATATATCTCGTTTTCTTTACATTAAGTGTCAGTAGGTTACTACTAAGCCACCACATGACCTTACCAAGCGCAAACTCTATCTAGGGGGGATCACCATACACCACGCCTACCGGTATGAGGCTGCCACTCGAGAACCTTTTTTCCCAATAGAAGAATTCTATCAAGAGAAGCCATAATTTAAAAGAAGAAGAAGAATTATATCCTTTTTAGGTTACCCATGCATTCAGGAATTCTGAACTATTCAAAAATTTTAATATTTTAAAGGAGATGCAAGTTTTAGTTCATATTGATTTCGCGGGTTCGCATTGTTCGCAAGTTCCCAATATTCGATTATGGGTTCATTGATATCGATGTTTGGATGTTTGACATGTGGGAACATCGATTTTAAAACATCGATGTTTTAATTTTTACATCGATGGTCATCGAACATCCCTAATTAGGGTATTAAGCCGCGTCTCCACCAAAGTTTTGTTACCAACTGTTGTGTTGCCAAGACCTGTTGGTAACAAATGTTTCTGTAGTTAATTAGTGTTGGCAACAAAACTTGAAACAATGTCGGGAACCGTGTTTCTATTTTTGGCGGTACCTAACATCAAAGGAATACGCTTGTTGGAAACATTTGTTCCCTCGGTGGAGACGCTTGTTGGAAACATTTGTTGGCTACTTTTGTTGAGTTTTAAACAGTTGGAAACATAAATGTTGTCAACATTTTTGGTGGTTACGCGGCTTTAGTCACAAACCACAAACTAATAAGAAGTGCTAGGTCATAAACTAATAAGAAGTACTAGCGCAATTAGTGTTCTGTGCTTTATACTTAATCTATGCTTGATACTTATTTAATAATCGGTGATTTTACATACATAAATACTAATCTCATTACATAATTTGTGTATTTTACTTCATCAGACTAACAACATTAGACTCAGAAGGGCTAGAACCCAGAGCCATAAAGCCAGTTATAAAAAAAAAGTCTAACAAGTAACAACAATGGTCTGTGACAACAAATCACAAACAACAAATCACGAAAACAGTACATACTACATAGGTGTAAATAAGAAAACTAACTTGTTTTATTTTAGCTAAGTCTTAGGGCGAAATTTTAGTAATAATGAGAGATGATAACGGCGACAAATATGTTTTCGCTGCCTGTACATATTTCGCGAAAAACCACCCAGGAGAAACTTGCGGCAGTAATGGATTGCCGTTAACACCAAGTTCAATATCAATCCTCGGAAGAGCACAACGTTTATTAAATATAGAACACCCTAATTTGTGTACGTATCTTGACGTAATCCGAGGAAAACATGGTGAGTGATTTGAAAACCAAAAATAATGATGCCTTCAATGTTCGTTTTATTTTTTCTATTATCTATTACAAATAAATAAAATTGAAGTGTCTATTTGTAATGTCAAAATTACAGCTTTTCACTCACTAAATGCTATCATATTCATGTATATACGATACTTGTTACAAAAATACAATTTTTAGAATTTTTGGCTGTCTGTTTGTTCCGGCTAATCTCCGACACGACTGGACCGATTTTGACAGAACTTTCACCGGCATTTAGCTAATTGTCATAAGGAGTAAGCTATTTTTATTTTAGAAAAAGAATTAGGGATCTTCGCAAAAAAATTAAAACCACAAATAACACGCGAGCGAAGTCGCGGGGAACAGCTAGTTTATAATATATTATTACTACTTTAATATGTTTTTAATAAAATTTTAAGAAATGTAGGATTGTAATCCATCAATAAAGATAAAAAAAAATTAAGCCTTTATTAAAAAGTACAAAAAGTCACCTATAGAAGTATTAACACTCTGTTACATGGGCAGTAAAACATTATGTAAATACATGAGCATGACACTATTGAGCCCCATAGTGGGGTTAGGATTTTTGCCATCAGAGTAGAAATAAAACTTCTATTTTTATAGGATAATGGTGACAAAGGATCACACAGTCCAACTGATGGAATGGCCTATAGACATTTACATCTACCCTCATTACAAATCAAAATGCAGATAAACATATTTTAAATTAAATCAGTCTTTATTGATATATTATAAATAAAAAATAAGCCTTCTTTTAACCAAGAGGGAAAAAAGTAAATGAGTGCATAAAAGCTATCAAAAATAAAAATATTAATTTGAGAGAGCTATTGAGATCATTCAATCTTTGTTGGGGAGGTCAAAAATATACTGAGCTAGAGATTAAATTTAGCTACATTTTTGCTCTCCCCAAACAGGTTTTTGCCTTGTTGGGAAAAGGGGTGGGGGCTTAGGAGCTGTGACTTGGTAACTCAGCATGCAACAGGTGGAAAACACAACAGGTGTGCCCCAAGATCAACTAACATTTTTAAGAGGACATTTGTGCACAACATTTTGAATCAGGCCTGCCAGATGTAAAAAACGCGTGATCGTACGCCAGCTATAAAAAAGTCGTATGTCAGGGAGATTTCGAAGTGAAAAGATCGTACAATCTAAAAGTAAACAGCTTTTTATTCAAACTAACAAAAATTTGCTAAGCAATGATCAAAAATATATTAAAACTACTTATTATAGTTATGTAAATTTCCTGAGGTCATAATTTTCAATATTTCTTCTGTTGGCTTAAACTTCGTACAATTTTCGTTTCTTCTTATAAGTTACTTTTTACTTACTTATCTTCACGCACAATCCCTGACGGGGTAGCCAGAGAGAACAGATCGCCAAGTGTCACGATCCTTACATACCTCTTTCGCTTCTTTCAGATTCATTATCTTCTTCATACATGCACGTTTAGGTATCCGAGTACTCTTGACCCTACCCTCTTCGAGCAATTTGCTCACATGGTCTTTGAAAGTTAGTCTCGGTCTACCTCGACACCTTTTAATATTAACTTTTGCGCTATATATTTTCTTCACCATTCGATCTTCACTCATTCGCTCAATGTGCCCAAACCACCGAAGCACTCCCTTATCAATTTTTGTGATAAGGTCATCTATCAAACCTGCCATATTGCGATATTGTTTACAGAAGCTGAAAGATAGCTGTTTGGGTGTGAAATTGGGTGACATAAAAGTAAATTGTCTGCTGTATGCTGATGATGCAGTGCTTATTGCACCATCAGAGGCAGAACTGCAGGCATTAGTCACGTGTATGAAAGAGGAATGTGAAATTAAAGGTCTCCGTTTGAATGCTAATAAAACTAAGGTTCTGATATTTGAAAGGGACGAACAGAGAACGAAGTGTGAAATATGGGTAAATCAGGAATGTCTAGAACAGGTAAATTAAATTGTATACTTGGGGAGTGCTTTTAGCCGGGATGGAAGATGTGATTTAGATGTGGACAGGCGTGTCGCTGCCGGGAACAAAGTCAATGGTGCCCTGACTGCGTTAGTCAAAAGGCAAGGCGTAGTGAAGAGTGCACGCCTTGCAATACGTAACGCAGTGTTGGTACAGACTTTGTTATATGGCAGCAAAACCTGGGTATGCCAGAAGAAGCATAAAAGCAAGTTGAATGCAGTGGAGATGCGATCTCTTCGTAAAATGTGCGGCGTTACCATGGCCGACCAAAAGCGAAACGAAGAGATTCTTATAAGTTGCTTAGCTAAAAATGTTCCATTCAGTGTTTCATTGGATAAACTGTTTCTAAGTTATGTTTTAATTAATTCGCTAAATGCTTGTTCACAATCAGCACTAGAATGGGGCAAACATATCAAATTCAAAGCGAAATGAGTCAGTGTTTTATGATATAAAACTCGTTGTTATTTAAAGTTAAGTAAATTTTATCTAAAATGTTGGTAAAACTGCGCCATTCATCATCTATTCTCTGCATTGTTTAAATGTCGTCAGGTTTTACTATTCTTGGAACAAGTATCATGAGTGGTTGTAAGAAGACTAAAGTGTTACTAGAAGCAGCATTGGTAGGTTCAACACAATCAATTTTTGATAGAATAGGATCATTTAGGTCATATATTTTTTTTATTTCTTTAGCGCTTGTGATTAAAAACTGCCGACAGCGATGAAAAAACTCCTTGGTGGCAGGTATCTGACGACACAATTCAGACTGCATAATTTTATTCATCACTCGAATTTCCAAATACATTTGGTTGTCTTTTAACTATTTCTCTTGACATTCAATGTCAATAGTAGAAAGCTCAGTTCTGTTGACATAATCACAATCTAAAAAATATAGCAAAATATCTTTATACATTTCGCAGGATACAGATCGAAACTGAATTGATAAAAAAACAGGTTTTTGACTAGTCGCAGTTATTACCGAAAGAGAAAAATAATTACTTTTGTAAAAATGCGAACAAATACAGTCCTAACATGATTGTACAAAAGGTCTTCATTCGAGTAAAAGATCTAGGAACGCATAAGATTGCTAAGGAATTCCCCAAACATAACTCATACTTGTCGATGGGTTACGTTCATTTCATTATGAAATGTTGCTAAGTAAGTATATGAAATGTTTCCAAATATTAAATTATCCTTAAAAGTCGTACATTTTCCATACGATCTTGGTCTATCTATCGTACATGAGTAAAAACGCCAAAAATCGTAAGAGTACGATTTAAATCGTACATCTGGCAGCCCTGTTATGAGTACTTTACAGCACCCTTGGTCACGGGCCCCCCATGACCAGGTGTTTGACTTCCCAATGTCATAGTTTACCACGGCTACCTTCAGCTTAAAATTAATAATCTTTAGTCCGGTATGATATTATTTTGAAGTCTTACAGTTGTATGCTTGGGTTGGGATTGAATTTTATTAATTATGGGATCCCCAGCAGATAGATGCGCCAGGCCATCTTCTCTTCTTTAAATTAGGATGTTCTTTGATTTCAGTAGCCTCCCAAATCATTCTTGGAAGGAATCTGTGTTCTTTAGCGGGGATCTGTGGTTTATCAAATCTGATATAATGGTTGGGATGATCCTGGACATGTTGACAGTGCTTCACATCAGCAATATGTTCTTTTTCATGTGTTTTTATCAAATAAACCTATGTAAAAGAGACCACATTTACAGTCAAGCTTGTACACTCCTGCATTTAGTAGTGGGATATTACACTTGACGGATAGTAAGAACTGACTAACTTCTTCGGCGGTGTGTTGTATGTTCTTATGGAAGCCATATTACAGATGTAGCCAATCTTGTCTGTAACTCCTTTGACATATGGTAATGCAGCTGGCACATCCTTGACTGTGGCCAGCTTCACTTGTTCACTGTGACATAGGCTGAAATTCAAAGCTTGTTGTTGTGCAAAACTTGCTTGACGTGCTGGAGCTTGAGTGCTAGGTGTTTATTGACACAGATCATTTGTGCTCTCTGAAACAAAGATTTTCCCATGGTAGCTAACTGTGAGGGAAGTTGGTGAGAATCGCCGTTTAAATATCTGTTGAGTCTTTTTGTCTTTTTTATTAAAAGTTTAATTTTTTAACCATTTTGAGTGAACTAAGAAATGCTCGAAATAATAGCAAGAATCACCTAAATAGTTATTGAACTTGGGGTAGTTTTTTTTTTCAAATTTATATAGAACCTCTGAAGTATCTTCTCAATAAAAGAGAATTCACAATTGACAGTGGAATTTAGAACCTCCTTCTTTTTTGAAGTCGGCTAATAAAACAAGTAAAATTGTTTATCATATTGTTACATGTTTTGGTGCATTTTCATAACCACCTTTTTTTTTATAGGATAGGGTGACAAACGAGCACACAGTCCACCTGATGGTAAGTGGTTACTGTGACCCATAGACATCTACATCTATCCTCAATAAAGATTCAAGATGCAGATGAGTTGTCACCTTTCTTCTGATTTCTGACTGTAGGGTGTTATTCCCACAATTGCTGATAGATGATATAAGGTGATATAAAGGTTGTTGTGATATGACAATGGATATGGTATTTGTATGACAAGACAACTGCTTGATATGTATGCCTGTAATGCACTGATCGCTGAGTATTTGTGCATAAAAGTGATGTGTTAATAAAAGTGATACATTAACAAATTTAAATACATATACAGTAAAACTTGGTTAAGTGGGACCTGGATAAGTGAGAAACCTCCATAGCTGGAATTTTTTTTTTTTTTTTTTATAGGAGAGGGGGCAAACGAGCATGCGGCTCACCTGATGGTAAGTGACTACCGCCGCCCATGAACAACCGCAACACCAGGGGAATTGCAGATGCGTTGCCGGCCTTTTAAAAAGGAGTAGGCTCTTTTCTTGAAGGTCCCTAAGTCGTATCGGTCCGGAAAAATCGCTGATGGTAATCGATTCCACAAGGAAGTCGTGCGAGGAAGAAAACATCTTCTAAATCGCACAGTG